GGAGCGCTTTGTGGAAGTCAATCTAAATGGCCAAATTAAATAGTACCAGTTTGTTATGTAAAGTAAAACGTCAGTTGAGTTTCCTTTCCAAAGTCAACTGCTTGTGTTGTTTTTCTACAAAGAAGTACATAGATGCCGTTGAGGTAAAACAGGTGACCTCAAACGGCATCTGTACGTTGTTATTCGACCGTGCCCTAACTTGTTATTGATGTTACGGAAACCAAACAGCTATTTATCCTATGAAGGATAAACAGATACTAAGGATTGTTTGTTTAAATTTTCAATTTCATTTAAAAAAAAATGGATTCAAAGCATAAAAGAAGCAAAAATCACATTAGCCTCTCCGTTGGTAAGTCATTTCCCTTTCACAACTAAGAGTTACTTTTATTTTTTCAAATAGACCTTTTTAAATATTAGTCTCGACTGAGTATAGTAGGCTGATAAACACAGAGACGGGGCTGTCGACAGCACCGCGCTGCTGTGCATACTGTAAAGGTGTGAAATGTGTGATATAACAGTGCGCTGTCAATCAAATGGCCTCCAGTTTGTGTGTGCAGGAGAAAAGCCACAGCTCAATGTGCCACAAGTTTTCAACGGGCAAAAGGTCTCAGAGTTCAAGTAGATCGCACCTTTCATGGCCAATACCAATTTGGGGGGTTTTTTTTTTTTTTTTTTTTTTGACATCTGGCCTGCTAACTTTATTTTAACCAATTCCATTTCTGTCATTTTCTTCAGCATATAAAAGAAAACATGAACAATAAATGTACTGTTGATTCCTCAGCAGAGGTAGAAGCTTAAAATCTTTTTTTAAATCTAGGAACAACAAGATTTTGCATAAGACTGCATAAAAACATGACCTTATCTGATTTCTGTTTGACTCAAAAAATGTTTACCAAGTTTCTGTTGCTTCATGCATTTAAAGACTGAAACTTATAAGCGTTCTTAGTTTTGAGGCAGATAACGAAAAACAAAAAAGACGGTCAAAGGACGACTGACTGACACTTCTCAGTGTGAGGTCTTAATTATTATGGGAAATGGTAACAATATCTGCATTCTGTCCTTTAGGGGCTGCAAGAGAAACAGAGCCGATCATAAACAGTTTTTCACCTCAAGTGTCTCAATCATCAACATCTAAGCACTAGATTATTTCTACAGGAGAAAGAAGCAGCTGCTTCACTCTTTGTTGATGCTTCCTCCGTATAAAGGAAATCAGCAAAGTCTTGATCCAAACTGAAAAAACATTCTAATTCATAAAAAGGAAAAAAATATATATCAATAAAAAAATATATATGTATCAGGCGAAGTGGCATTATTATTAGCATATTATTAAATATCGCCACGGGCCTCAGAAAAAGCCACATCTGTCGACTGCTGCCTGAAATATAAGGAATCCTTTCATTTTCTTTTCTGTAATGACTTGAGTGAAAAAAAAAACTCTGTCGGTGAGTTACGCATGTAAGACCTTTCTTTATGCGAGTGAGTTAAATAGTATTTGAGAAGGATTGTAATCCAGCTAAAGTTATGAGAACAGAGTAATGTTAAAACATGCCACGTGATTTGCACTGATTGCATAAAGTAACCGTACAGGATTTGAGATTATGATAAAGTTTTGTTGAAACCATCTTCTCGGAGTCAACATGTTGAAAAGCTGTGCTGGCTCCACGGACTGAACTGCTGTCAAAGCTACACGTGTTTTTCGCTACTACTATAAGTAGCCTCTCTTGGCTAACTGACAGGAAAACTGACATTTCCATAATAATTTCCAATCACTTTCTATCAGTTTGACTTTAAATTAGTAAGACTACGCGCTGTCAGGCCCTCTTTAGTAACATTTTAAAAGAGTCGACCCTCTTTCATTTTGCAGTCCACATGCAGGTTAGCAATGCTAACAGGTAGCAACTGCTAGCTAGCTGTAAAATATCTTCCAAGTGTGACTAATTAAACTGTTGTGTCATATCTAAACATAAACGAGCTAGTTAAACCAGCTGTGTTTTAAAGTTATTGCTTATTTATAAGCAGAGCAGTTTATCAGGGAGGCAAAACTAGCCGTTTACTAGTGCTGTGGAGCTAGCGAGTTGGGCGCTTTAACGTTACTCCACATTAGCCTCAGAGTTAATTAAACAAGAAGCAGCATGTCCAACATTGAAACGCTTGCTGCCCAAACCAATTTCAGTTAGGTTATAACATACCCAGTGTGCTGCAATCCTGTCACGCCTCCATGTTTTTTTCTTTATTCAACAGATTTATTAATCCCCGATCTCTCACGCAGCAGTAACTTGTGATTTCATGTCCAGCGTGCCTGCCCCTTTCTTCTCTCTCAGCTGCCTGTCCTCCACACACACTGGGTGAATGTCACGCAGAGCTGCTTCAAGTTATCTAACCCATTCAAACCCGCCACAACCATCGGAGACTTACACAAACTCAGACACTTATTTTCAATCTGCAACTGTCTCAGTTTTACATATCACAAACGACACTTTTCTCATCCCATCTTTTCCCTTTCAACTTGTGTGGAGATGTTCATTGTTGTTACCTTTAAACATTACTTTAGCTGTTCATCAGTTGCAAAAGCATTGCCAAGGTTCCCAAACCTTATAGAATAAATGCATCCCCACAGCATGATGTTGCCACCACCATGTTCCCTGTTGAGATGGTGTCTCACAGTAGATGACAAATATAGACTGCAGGCAGATCACTTTTTTTAATTATTATTTTGATCACCTGTGAGGTTTGAGATCAGTATAGTTTTGCGTAACACCATTATGCACACCATAGCCAGAAAAGAAGATGTCAGATGAATGACATTATATGGTACTCCAAAACCTGGATTGTCTTTTCACATCCATTGCTAGTCACAGATGTGTGCTTATGATTACCCATGTACCATGCTATGTACACAAACAAATGCTCACTCATCTGTCCCTAATGCTGGTCTTTGAGCTGTGAGCTAACAATAAGGCAGATGGTTCCTCACCTCATCTACCTACAGATGGCTACAAGTGTTTTCTAGAATGGTCATTTTATATATATATTTTTAAAATACGGTGTCATCAGATCTGCCTTACATTATAGATAAAGCTGCACATAATTAGTAATGAATGATCATGGTAATACTTGCAATATAATTTCACTTATTCTTTAGAGAGATCCTTAGATGCCTTTTGTTCTGGTATTACATACTATGCTTTTGTATAGTATGTAACACTGTCCAGGTCACTAAAGGATTAAACTGTTGATCTGTTTTCAGTCAGGCTCCCGGTGCTGGGATGTTTGATGGACCGTGGTATCAGTTTACATTTCATTTGAAGTCAATAATAAAAAAAACATTTACAGCACAAAATCTCCGCATAATATACCCATTGAAAATGCAATGCTTTAACTTACCAGAAGGGGTTGCTATTACCCTACGACTTAATGACACTGAGTCCACCACTTAAAGAGGCGATATTACGTATTTTCCAAGCACAGAGTGCCATTTCATAGCACAATCAAGTAACTATGTTACCTTCAGTTTATATAAAAATGCTGTATATACCAAACATAATCTAAAAGACATTAGACTTTATAAGTTGATGCCTTGAAATTTTTACTCTGTTTAAAAAGCTTATGCTCCTTCTGACACTCAGCCTTCAGCAAGTCATCAGAACAAGGCGTCTTGTTATGCCATAAACAACCGCACTTATAGCTTTGAACTGAGATGTAGTGTGTTTGATAAGGTTGGCAGACATGCAGTTCGACCAGGATTTTGCTGATTACTGCTACCACTAGTTTGGAGGGTGAGTGGAGTGCTCTGTGGGGCAGAAGCTTGTCTGGAGACTGCAGCTCCAAAGAGGAGCTTTGTAGAAATAGGCTGTGATTGAGGGAGCAATCAATTTCACCCAAACAGAGATAACCAACTTTAATAGTCTTATTATTTACTTTCATAAACCGGTTTTTATTTCAGTCAGTGGTGTTGTTATGAAGGTTCTGCTTAGTCAGTGGTTCCTGAAATTATCAGCTTCAGTCCTACAGGTAATGCATCCATTACATTAAGGTAACTTAGCACTAATTACATTTACAAATTACATTTGTTACCTTTGTTTTTGTTTTGTATTAATATTTCCCCAATTAGATCTGGCATTTACATGGATTGGCATCTAGCTAAATCTCCTATTTGCAGACATTATAAGCCGTACAAGCTGCAACACTAAACTCTGTCAGAGACCACACTTCCTTTTTGTTAATCAAATAAAAAGGAAAATAAATAAAACTACATTGAAGCTTGTCATTTTAATGTGACAAAAACGTGAAAATGTTTGAAGGGTCTGCACCTACAAATGATTTTAATTTCTGATTATTTTAAGATGGGAAAACCTGGACATGTGGTAACTTCAGAGACCGCAAAGATGAATGATTTGACTCCAAGCTGATGCATGATGAGGAATTGTTGCAAGTTTTGTCTTGCTGTGTAAAGGTAGTTAGAGGGATGTTTATGTTGTTGCAGGATTATAGGTTGCTACAAAAAATATTTGAATTAAAGGGAAATAAAATAGTTAGAGGATCTATTAACATACCATTGTTGACAGCCATTGGTTTTTTTTTTGTCGCGCTTTCAGACTAACTGATACCTGCATTTGTTAGTGAATTCACAGATGACTAAATAATATGTGACACGAAGGAAACACAAGGTAATCTCCACTTGATTACATGTGGGAGTCTTTGACTGCCCTAAAAAGCTCTATATAAGTTTGATGCATTATTATATAGCTTTCACCTGCAAACTGTGTTTTCCTGCTTGCTTTTTTTTCTCAAGTTTTCAGATAAGCAGTGAAAAATCTCTATTTTACATATATATTATTCGAAAAGGTATATTTAGTGCACTAATTGCAGTCACATAAGGGCTAATAATCCCATCTTTCTCTATATGGTAAAAAAAAGTCTCTCTTAAAGTGTGTGTGATAACTAGTGCCCCTCAGCCCACAATCAAAAAATCATCGAATAAATTAGAGCACAGCCGGACAGACTGACAAATGAAGTTTATTTCATGCAACACAAGTTTCTTCCATGTTGGTAATAGACATATTGTACCGTCTTCTGGACGTGACAAAGCAGGAGGAATCACCACCCCGGGAGGCCTTCGTATCTACATGAATACATACAAAGTTCATCAGAGTCACTGATAGTCTTGATCTTACACATGCACCAGTCAGACTTTTCCTGAACGATACATTTTACGTCTGCCCGACTGATTCACAGATTGGAGAAACACAACTTCTGCAGGTGTTTTGATAGAGGCAGTGGTTTTTGAATACAACTGAAAATGAAGAAGTAACAAATTTGGCTGCATTTGTGCCTCAAAGTGTATGACCCTAACTTTTATTTCAATTGTTTCCGCTCAAAAAAGTACATTACAGTGCATGGAGTATGTTATGAACCTAAAGATGAAAGTTCTAGTGCAAAAGAGATCAGGCTTTTCAGAACCAATTAAGAAAGCTCGACTGACTCTGATCTCTTTTCAATTGATCGTTGCATCTCTGAATCTCTTGCTTTTCATTTGTGAAACTCTGTGTCTTAATTGCGGATCATTCAGCCGGTTAGATTCTTACCTTATATAGTTGGATCCTGGAAGAGTTTCTGAGCTCTCTTTCACAAACAGGTCAGAAAATACAGTGTCTGGGTTGTCTCTTTTTCCATACCTGTGCATGAAAAAGTGAAATAATCATCACATCAGCACCTTCTTGATAGACCTGGGTGATTCAAGGCACTTAAGGAAATATAAAAGAAATTTAAAAATTTACCTCTGTCTTGTAATGAGATTGATATAATGTCTCAGTGCAGAGTAATACTTGGCAAGCTCCTCAGGTGGAGCTCCTTCCCGGGGACTGGCAGGCTTCACTGGATAGGCGTCTCTGCCAGAGAGGAAACATACCAGCAAGCAAAGAGCCAGAAGAGTTGGCGACATCACAGCGTCGGAGTGTCCTAGGTTCAAATTTAGGGGGAAAAAGAAAAAGAAAAGAAAAAAAAAAAGCAAATGCTTACTAAGCAAAAAGATTTTACACCAACACAGAATACACACTCTAGATCAAAAGGTATTCCAGATTTCTTGTCAAAAATGAAGTTTCAACTAAGATGAAACAGAAAACTTCCTTACTCTTGACAGTTTGATAAAAGTGCCGCTGTGGGTTTCCTTGCTTGTTCACGAGCTCCTGCTGCAGATTCCCAACGTTGTCCTGTCTTTTATAGTGAGCGCGGAGCGTGAGGAGAGGGGGTGGCAGAGGGGCTGATTTCATTTTCCTTCAAAGCCACTCCTGAGAAATATCTGTTGCCTCATTAGCTTAATTAAACCTGTAATGGCCGAGCAGTGAAATAAAATAGAGATGCACGGTTACATTATGAAAACACAAAAGGTGTCGGCACTAGGTTCATTAAAAAGTTGTTTGACGTGATGGACTACATTTGCCCCATTGTTTCTTTTAAAATAATTTCAGATGAGCCACATTAGAAGTTCATTGTGTGTGAGTAATTAATTATTTCTGCTTTATAATACCACAAATTAATATTTTTGCAAGATCACCGAGTCCTGTGCAGCTGGTAAGAAATTCAATTATGGAAGTCAGACAGACCCCTACATCATGGATTCATTTTTTATTTCTTTTATTTTTTTGTATTTTAACTTTATTATGCATTGATTATGGGGTTAAAACAGCACATTTTCTTATAAAGGAAATTCTCACAGTAATTAGATTAGATGATCACATCCTGCTTGATATTCTTGAATAAAGCTAATGATATGAAGCTTTTTTTCCATGGCTGATGTTCGAAAGCTGCATGTGCCTGGTTAGATGATGCTACAGCTGACTGAGAAAACATCCAGAGAAGCTCCTCTATAAAACAAACTAATGAAAACAGATCTTTCTTCCGTTGTAACGCCTCATAATCACACTGGAGCAGCCCAGCTGTAGCCATAAGCACAACTCTTGTATCAACAGGGACACGAAACGACCGCACTCGTGCTTTTTCTGCACTATTCACTGACACATAGTTGTTTTAGGTTGGCAATTCTGATCCATACCAGACTGCGCAGGTTCAAACCATACCAAACAACAGGAAAACCGCTCAGCAAATCAGACAAACCAACAAACTTCTAATTTCAGGTGATGGAGGGCACAAGTTGCTCTCAGCTCCTCTAAATGGCAAGACAAGTCTAATGGCAACTATTTTCTTTGAGGAGCACTCAAGTGAAATTTGACAGGAGATGAGTGCTGCTGTTATCTATGACAGACATGAACTTTAGCACAGGTCTTACATGAACAGAACGTAGAAAAGTGAAAAAAAAAAAATTTTTTTTTTTTAGTCTCACATTTTTCAATAAATATTGAGATGTTTTAAAAAAAAACATGCATAGCCGTGTATTAACAATTTTATATCATTTCCAAGTTGCCTTCTGATGGCGAGAAGCAACAAAAGCTTCATTTTCTGTTGATTAAACCAATCATATTGTCAACGTGTCCACGGTGTTCAGTGTCTTCTTTTATTCCTGTTCAGTTGTCACTCTGGATTCTGGCAGTGAAAGCAATAAAATAACAGCTAAGTAGCGCAAAGCTGTCTTTCTCTTTGACAATTTATCATTTTCCTTGGAAAATAAACACATGCTGTGCAGAGAATCTGCTCAGTGTTGTGCATCTGATTTGCATTCTCTGTCTCACTGCATTTGGCAGACAAACATGGACCAGGTGGTTACAATGTAGAATCTCCTAAGTGTGCTGTTTGGTACAAGAGAGATCCTCTGTGTTCTTTCAACAAATACAATGTATGACATTTTGACAAATGATATCAAATTTTTTTTTTTCATATTTTACACAGCAGAACAGCAACAGGAGCGTATTTGTGCATAAAAGTAGGATTTTTCTTTGCTTTTAAATAAAAATCTGATGTGTGGCGTATTCGATCTCAGCTTAAAAACAGCTGTTCCACGAAAGCCTCGGTAGTTTGTCGTAGAACGTTAGCGAACAAACAGCGTAGTGAAGATCAAGGAGCCCTCAGATGTAAATGAAATCCCATCCATCCCCATCAAATTTAACAAAATTGTGTAAAATGTTTTTGACATGTCAAATGTTTTAAAGTATTCCAAAGAGTAACAGGCAGCCTCCAAACTACATAAACACAAGTGTCACAAACAAACACTTTGAATCTCACAAAGTTAACACAACTGATCGAAAGCAATTTGTTTTGAGGACAATTTCAGTTAGATGACATCAAGTGGAAAATATATTTGACTATCTCATGTGCCGCGATTTCATTTCAATCCAATGAAATCAAATGAAACCAAACTTACACAGCGCTGTTCCGGCGCCAAAGTCAGACATTTTCTGTTCACACACACATTCACACACTGATGATGGCAAGCTAGCTTACTGTAGCCGCAGCCTGGGGCAGTCTGACAAAAACAACCAACTCCAGCAATAAAGGCAGGCAGAGAAAGGAATTGAGCTGGCAACCCAATGATTTAAAGGCAAACTCCTATCGCTGTCACCACCATGAGCTCCTTTAAAGCAGTTTGAAGGCGCTCTAGTCTGACCAGATTAATATGAAACTTTTTGGCCTGTGCGCAAAACATAATGTGTGGCGGAAAACTATCGCTAACACTAGAATATCATCCTGAATTCACCTTTGCCACACCACGAAACATGGTGTTTCACGCTAAAGAGATGCTTTTCTCTTTAAAAGCATCACGCTTTTAAAGAGAAAAGCGTGATCATGCTAAAGAGATGCTTTTCTTCAAGAGAAACATGGAAATTGGTTGAAGTTTACATAACTTTTTTAGAAATAAACATATTTCAGGATGAAGCTGAAACATAAAAGGCTGCAACAGACTAAACTGTGGTGGAGGTTCACTGTCTGAAACGGCAACAATCCCTACGGCCACAGCTACGACGGACTGGTTTTGATCAAAGCATACTTTGCTTGATGTTAAAATGGCCCAGGAATCCCAACAGTGTGGACGACAGAGCCCTGAAAGTGTTCTGAGGCGCTGGGAGATGAATGATTAATTCCCCAATAGGTGCACACTGAGAGAGTGATAAAACAGCTGCCCATTATCCAGCCTGTTTTCTCTGCAGAACATTAAGTTGTCACATACACACAAGCACGGGATGGAAAGCTTTATGTTGGCTTTGTTCATTTATGTTGCATGAAATGACCCATTTAGGACATCGTGCTGCACCTTTATACAAAAACAACTCATGCAGGAGAGAGAGTCTGCTGCTTGCAGAATGCTATAACTAATCGCCCCTTTCCTCATAATCTACTCCATCAACAAGTAGACTCCTAATGACCACACAACAGTAGGTAAAACGGCTGTGTGGGTAATGACATCATTATGTCACACAGCAAAATCTGAGTGGAAAATTTCTTTCATATTTCAGCATTCCTTAAAGTTCACCAGAGATAAGCTGATATTATGCAGCATAACCAGAAACAAAAAAATTATAAACCTTAAGTAATGGCCATGTTTATAGACCTCCAAATACAAAATCAGTGCAATTTAAAAATAGTTGCTTGTTAAAACTTAGATATTTTTTTATTCCCAAGAATTTGTTATAGAGGGGCAAGACAGTATGACAGTACCAGAAGACAACATAAAGGTCAAAGGAATAATGGAAACAGACATTTATGCATCTTCAAACAGTCAAGAGTGATTATCAGTATACAAGTCAAAACAACACGTATAGCTGCGGCTAGAGAACCAGTTAAAGCCGTCAACATGCAGATAAATCCCTCTAGAGGGGACAAAGTGACCTGGACTGATACCACAACACAGAACGTGGTAAAAACACGTCACCGGACCTCATTTTTGAAAATTAAGTAGCACAAAAGCTTTCAAGCAGGAAGTTTTACATAGGCATATCTCCCAACAATGAGCCAATGAAGTGTAACTGTGGCTAGCTTGGAGGTTATAGGGTTATATTAGTATGCTATGTGTTATACAGTGCTTTTTAAAATTAATGATGCAACTTGAACTTTATCACCTTTTGTCACATCACAATCAATCAAAAACTTCAATGTTTTACATAATCTGTTGCTCAGTTTTACTTGACACCCAACATAAAGCTCAAGATCAGTCAGATGAGTCTTTGCTTGGTAGAGACACACCCCCAAAAAAACTTAGCTATTGGGTGGTTGCATATGGGGGGGTATAATAACTATGCTATACTTCACAAATTTATTATAGAAGAAAATCTTGTAGCAGTTTCTTTCTTTATTATAATGTTGCTCTAATTTGTGTTGATCTGTCACATAATGTGGCAAGAGCATGACAAAATAAGAAAATGTTCAAAAATGAATCCTCTGTTATTTAATCATGTATAAACTTTACTAACACTAAAAATACTTTTGTTTGATCTAACAAGAGACTGGAGCTTGACTGAAGTGAGAATCTGCAGTATGAAGATAGAACAGATATAAATGGGAGACATTTTATCAATATAGCTAAGCTTGAAGCCCACTGCTTTCTGGGTAAAATGACCAGTCACTTGTAATTGTCCATGGGTTAGAAGTAGCCCAGAGCAACATTTTATGTCAGAATCACCACTGGTACCAAATAGAGTGTGTGTTGGATTTTAAAGACCTTGTGTTATAATTAGTAGCTAGGAGTTGGACCCTAGATTAGAGTCAGATACTGATTGTGTATTGAGGTTGCCTAGTATGTTGAAGCTATTGAGAACAAGGTTTGAACCAGTGGTGCTGCTCTGTTTTTATACTTCATCATAAACTTGGTTCAGTGACGTTCAGCTAGAGGTCAGGCTTTCAGTCAATTTAAGTGCTGGGTTAAACCATGTCG